TCAACTACCACATGTCATTAAACTTAGCAATTTGATAGTAAAATTTAATGGAAACTAACGGAAGGTAAATTTGTCACACGTGTACCAGTTTAAAGTTTTTTGTGGTCAAAAAATTAGTTCGGGGTAAAATTATCACAAGTGTACCAATGTAGGATTTTTTGTGGTAAAAAAAATAGTTTTGGGTAAAATTGTCACAGGTGTACCAGTTCGGGATTTTTTGTGGTCAAAAAAATAGTTTTGGGTAAATTTGTTACAAGTGTATCAGTTTAGAGTTTTTTGTGGTATTAACCCGTTAAATTTTACCGTCAAAATTCTGAGTTGGATGATACGTGGCAGTTAACGAGTGTACCAATTTGGGGTTTTATCCTCCGTTTGTTATATATGTACCAATTTGTGATTTTTCGCGGTATTAATCTAATTTAACTGAGGGTAAATTTGCCACAAATGTATCAGTTTGGGGTTTTTGGTGGTCAAAAAATTAGTTTAGGATAAATTTATCACATGTGTACCAGTTTAGGATTTTTCGTGATATTAACCCTATTAAAAACTTGGAAGTCTATCTTCTGTTTAGTTGCGTGACCTTTCTAGAACCTCACTTTTTACATTCGATTATAATTGGAAGACGTCGTATTTGTAATCAGCTTGAACTAGCATAACCCTGATAAATTAACTGCCATGCTTACGTTTTTCCGTTTTCATTATATTAAGCGTCGCACTATGTCACCAAATGAAAATCCCGTTTTAGAGAAGGATGGTCACGACGGAAATGTCCTATTATCATCAGTTATTTTTCTTCACAGCACAGCTCACGTAAAAGGTATCCCCTTTTATCCTGAACTCTGATGTAAGTCTCGAAAGGAAACGATAGCCGGCGTAAATTAATTAATTTTTGCATGCAACGCAATATGTCATGTTAGGCGGCTACACATAACGAATATATCGACTACTTTTGCTCTAACTGTGGTTGGAGAAATATAATATTTGGAAGATCTCGTCATGCTCACATAATCATACATCATACGCATACTCGTGAATCAATTTCTTATTTTACGCCGATGCCGAGTTAACAATTGTATTATGGCCAGCAATTGCAAACCCTAGAACAAGGCACATGCCATTTGTTTCCTCTTGCACATGTGTCATTGTCAAATAGCACGTTATCTATCTAGTTGAGATGGGTAGCCGGATCATGTAGCTTTCAGAGAACATTACTTAATTGCTTGATTAAGTCTAGAGTTTAGTGGTACTCAATCAAGTAGACGCTTATGAAATTCATTTGGGTTTCAAGCTAATGTCATTATGTTTGGACATCTACTAGATTGGCACTGATGTGCTGTCTGACATGATAGAAAGCCATGTGCGAGGCTCGTTTGACTAGCAAAAAAAAACAAGTTGGTGAGGTCATGGACAATTTGTCTATCGATTAGCTCATCCTAATAAAGTGGACGACAAAGAGTACCTCTAATAGACAGCGGTCAAAAAAATACCTGCCTTTTATTCGTAAGGGTGAAATTTGTTAATGCTCCCCTCTTTTCGCGAAAAATATCACGTTTTTGGTTAATATTTTTTAAGAAATCATTTTCCTTGAAAATAACACGATTTTTCGATGTTCGGCTGCAATCTGAAAAAGATCTGGAAAATATTTTCTGCTGTTTGGTATGTAAAATCGGATTTGATTTTCCTCTGTACACTACTTTTAATAATTTTTTATTTTTATTTTTTAAAAATCAAAATTTTAATTAATTTTTCTTTTTCTTTTTCTTTTTCTTTCTCTTTTTCCCTCTTCTTCAGCTGGTTGCTAGCCACTGCGTAGGCCGACAACCGGCCACAGGCAAGCTTGAGGCTCGCCAGAGGGGCGGCAAGGCTTGAGCTCGCCAAATTTTGTTGAGCCAAGCCTCACCAGCCTCAGGCAAGGATCTAGATTCGACGAGATCGAGCTCGCTGACCTCTGGCGAGGCCTTGAGCCTCGCCGCCCTCTGGCAAGCTCGAGCTTTCCTGTGGCCGGTCGCCAGCATTCGCCGTAGCCAGCGACCGGCCGAAGAAGAAGAAAAAAGAAAAAGGAAAAAAAGAAGAAGAAAAACAAAGAAATAATTAAAAATTAGAATTTAAAAAAGAAAATTAAAAAAAAAATTAAAATGAATGGTGAAAGAAGGTGGAGGGAAAGAGGAAATCATTTTCCTCACTTTTGAAGGTATTTTTTTTTATGGAGGGAAAATGTTTTCCTTAACTAGTTTATTTTCCTCGAACCAAATGCCGGAAAATTCGGAAAACATTTTCCTGGAAGTTGTTTTTCATGAAACGAGCGGAGTCTATGTTCGACGGGTTTCTATCGGCTCACCAAGGACTAGAATGCATCCTCCGTGAGTGTCGGCAACAACTTGGCCGACTCAAGTTAAAAAACCTTCAAGTGTTCGTGGACATTACTTCCAGCCACCGTGAAGAAGATAGCGACTCACGGGTTTAAGATATCCTGCTCGGATACCAACGGCAATGAGGAGCAAGTTCTCAAGTAAATCTAGTCAAAAGCAGATCCGGTGTATGAAAAGTTTAACTCCTAGTCAGCCTTCACTTGAATGTACAATTAACAAAAAACAACACATATTATCCTTTACGTTTGAATTCATGCAGCTCGATAAATGTAAAGAAACTCTCTGTATCTGTGCAATTCCCTTGAAAGTGCCCTAACCCAACTCTTCCTCTCCATGCTATTTAGGTGCAGGCTCTTGGAATGGAAGAGCCGAACGAAAGAGATCTTCTCTTCTTCTTTCTGGAAAGTCGGGCGAAAGAGTTGACTTCGTTGCTGTATGATGTTGCGATTAGCAATCCTGCATGGCATGCAAATGTTAATAAATGCAGAAGTCCACTTCCTCCTGTTACCATCCACAACTATTTATTAGTGATTAATGGAGCTTGGTTTTTTTTCTTTTTTTGCCAGAGCGTTTTAGATTTGCCCGAACTAGCTCATTGTCTCGTTAAGAAAGATTATTCTGTGCTGTAAAAAGAAAAAAAAAAAACAGGAAGATTATACAAACTCGCTTCTGTTCTGTACCAGCTCGAACTTGCTCATCTTCTGTCGTGCATCTATCCAGTTTGTATATGTCTTCATTTGATTATAATACATGGAGCAGTGATAGCAGTTCATAAACTCAGTATCGGTTTTTCAAATTTTGACGAAAACCTGCATGATCTCTATCTTTTATTCAATTATTAGTTCTCACTTTTGTGCACTGCGCGCGTTCTATATCATAGTTTTTTTCTGTAAAAGAAGATAGACGCAGAAAGAAGCACGTTTAGAGCCTCCAAAATATAAACTTTCTGAGCTGAAATCCCAGATAATTATAGACGGCAACATTCAATGATGAAGTCATTTCCAGGAATGATGGAATGTGCGTTGAAGATTTGCCAGCATTCATCTCAATAATGCAACGTGGTCCATTCAAAGGCTTTTGATCAATCCAAAACTGCACAGGATCCATTGAAGGAATAATCGAATGTGCAGAAACAGTAAGTGAATTCATCAACAATATGGTAGAGATGATTTAAAATTAGTGAGAACATGCGCATATTCCTTTTTCATTGAAAGCTTTTGATCTTTGCATGAGAAAAAGTTTCCATTGGAGTTAGAAAAAAAGGACAGAAAGAAGTAAAAGTGCACCTGGGGGATCATCTGAAAAACTGATAATTAGCATTTGATGTTAAAATTCAAGAAATTTTATTGAAATTAGTTAGTTAGGACCTTCAATTGCCGAATATAAAGATCAATTACTCCTTCTGCACCTAACTTTCTCCACGAGCAAACAATAGAAGACAAACATAGAGAACAAACTTGACTAAGAAAGGGAAGGAACCTCGGAATAAGGATATACAACGACTAATCTTATAGCTAATCGTCCATCGCACCTCCATTCCCTCGCAAACACTCCGAGTGTCCCACTATTCACAAACTCGTGCCGATTCCGAATCGAACGGGAAACTTCGACTCGTAATCATCACCGAATTGTTATTTTCCCCGATTTATATCATGGCTTTTCTAGATTCTGGGGGAACTAAACCATCTTTAACTTGCAAGTGTTATTTCATGACTATTATGTAGTACAGATCATCACAACTTAAATGCATAAATAGAGAGCACACAAAGTTTATTTAAATTTTGGCGGCCAGACACATGACTCGGAGACTATAGGGATGTTTATTATTTACCCTTTTTTTTTCTTTTTTCTTTTTTTTATGATTAAGGGGCATGGACATAGAAACTCGACTGCTTAGAAACCTTTATCTCACATTGCAAGTCTCATGAACCGGTTAAGTCCAGACATTTAATTTGTGTAAATGACTCTAATAGAATAAAATAGTTTGCATGTAGTTAATGGAATTTGAATGTGTGGCGTCCAATTCCAATTGATTGTGCCAACATTGAGGAAAGTTGTATCATATGTTACTATACTAATTTCAATGAGAATCTCAGTCTTCAAACAGCTGGCTCACGAGATTGCCATTCAGGTTAAATAGACAACCAAAGATATTATTGGAAGTGATTTTGATTTATCTCTTTTTTATTTCATTTTCTCTTATTTTTGAATTTTGGATACTTTGACTTTTATTTATTATCGGTAAACACAGCATTTCAACATATACTTATATTAACACATAAATTCTTTTAAAGTTTTCCATATATCTTTAAAACTTAAAATATATTTCAATTTTGGATAAAAGCTAAAAGATTTTTTTTTAAAGCTCATACTAGAGCTAGATAAATTCTAGGTAAACAAAAACCCTTAGTCATAATAGCAAAGCCCTAATTGAAAAAATAGGACTAACCATACTACATTACATCTATGTTTACAAAAAATTACCTTAGATGCTCCTACATAAACTAATATTAATTACAGCATCTTTCTCTATAAATACCATATCAAACTCCCATGCAGAAACAGACCTCAGTGGCTTCCCTCCTCTCTTCCGAATACAGAAATTCTGTCGCCCTTCATATTTCTGTAGCCATGGAAGTCGTCCCTACCAAAACCCACATAGCCCTCCTAGCTAGCCCCGGCATGGGACACCTCATCCCGGTCCTTGAACTCGGCCGGCGCTTTGCCGTCCACCACCGCTTCCTCGTCACCATCTTTGTCGTGACCACTGACGCTTCCGCTGCCCAGTCCCAGCTCCCCCACTACTCCTCCTACCAAGACCTCCTCGATATCGTCTTCCTCCCGCCGGTAGACATCTCTCACCTGGTCACCGACTCGATGTCAATTGTCTCGCAACTGGTCCTCATAATGCGCCACGCCATGCCGATCCTCTGCGCGGAGGTCGCAAGATTGAAGCCAAGCCCCTCAGCCCTCGTGGTCGACCTCTTCGGTACCGAGGCTTTCGAGATAGCTGACGATTTTGGCATGTTGAAGTACATGTTCAACACCAGCAATGCATGGTTCCTTGCCTTGTCATTGTATTATCCGCATCAAGATGAAACCAACAGACGTGACCACGCCTATCTCCATAAGCCGCTGTACATCCCGGGATGCGCGACGCTTGAGTACGAAGACACGGTTGACATGTACTTGCTACCGGATGACCGGGTCCTTCACGACGATTATGTGAAGATAGGGCTCGATATGGCAAAGGCCGATGGGATATTGGTGAACTCCTGGGAGTATTTGGAGCCCAAGACGTTGAAAGCACTGAGAGATCCGAACTTGCTGGGCCGGTTCAGCTCGGTCCCGGTCTACCCAGTTGGTCCATTGATTCGGCCGGTCAAACAGGTTGAAAATTCGATCTCCAGGAGCACAGCACTTGATTGCCTGGACTTGCAACCAACCGGTTCAGTGCTTTACGTGTCGTTTGGCAGTGGTGGGACCCTATCGGCTGATCAGCTCACCGAGCTAGCTTGGGGCTTGGAACTGAGTCAGCAGAGATTCGTTTGGGTGGTGCGGCCGCCCATCGAGAGCAGCTCGTTCGGATCGTACTTCCGTCAGGATAAGAGGACCGAGGACGGGACGCCGGATTACCTCCCCGATGGTTTCGTGAGTAGGACCCGCGAGGTGGGCCTTGTGGTGGAGATGTGGGCCCCGCAGACCGAGGTCCTGGCCCATGAGTCGGTTGGGGCATTCCTGTCGCACTGCGGGTGGAACTCAACCCTGGAAAGTGTGATCAACGGGGTGCCCATGATATGCTGGCCGCTCTATGCGGAGCAGGGCATGAACACGGCCATGCTCTCCGACCACCTTGGTGTGGCCACTCGTTCGAGGGAGGTGGGGCCCGACGGGGTGGTCAGTAGGGAGGTGATTGAGAAGACGATAAGGAGGGTGATGGAGCAGGATGAGGAGCACGGGAAGTTGGTGAAGGCGAAAGTGCTGGATCTCGAGCATAGCGCGAAAGTGGCTCTGGCTAAGGGCGGCTCGTCCCATGGCTCGCTCGAGCTGGTGGCTAAAAAGTGTCAAACGGGCCTCACGAGCCTGAGAGAAAGGGCCCGTGGGGCTTAGCTTCGGGTTTTTTTTTTTTTTTGGTCGAAGCTTAGCTTCGATTTAAAAGCCCGTAAAGTATGATATTAGTATCACCCGTGTATTTATAATGGTCTGTTCTACCAGAGTTTCTCTTTGTTTTCCCTTTCGGGTAAGAAATTGGACCAAAATCCTGGAGGTTTGTGTGGGACAAGTCTCAATACTAAATAGCCTGAATGGGTAGATATGGCACTGTCTTGCTGAAATAAGGTTAGATAGTTGACTTTACTTATTCCTTTTTGCTTTGGAACAGTAGGTTGAAGGATGAATTTTCCTTCCATGAACAGGCGATCTATCTAACAAACAAGTGTAAGAATTAAAAAAAAAGGGTACTTAATTAAACTCAGCTTGTATAGTGCAGTGGGATAGTTTTAGCAAAAAAAAAAAATAGTGCAGTGGGATAGTTTATAGGAATCATCATCAACTTGGTTCTCGATATCAAATGCCTTTAAACCAATCTTATGCATCTCCACAACGGGAAAAACACCCATTTGCCCTCATGCACACTCAAACCCTCTTCCACTCTCTTGCAATGCCATATCTCTCTCCTCACACGTAGCAGCACAAAACAACTATTAGTCGAGAGCCACCCCACAGCATTGAGCTGCCGCTCGCCACCACAGCCTGATCGCGATGCCAACGCCGATACCCTCGCGCTCAATTGCCGCCCGGGCCCCTCTCCCCACATCCTGGTTTTTGTCTATGGCAAGATCATTTGTGACACGCAACAACAAGGCCGCACGATCTAGCCCTGAGCCAGCGGCTCACGATCACTGAGAGGGTGCGAGGTCGACCTTGAGTTTACGACGGCCACGAGGCTTAGCGACAAGCTCACAAACCGTGCAAGACGTGGTGGTGGGTATGTCAAACCGAGCAAAGCCTCTCAAGTATGGGGAGAGAGTGTGGTTGAGTGTAGAAGGTTTTTTTTTTATGGGAGACTTACCAAAAAAGTCATATTGTAATTGTACCAATTCAGTCTTAAATTTTTGTGTGTTAATTGAGTCTTAAACCTTTTGCATTTATGTCAATTCAATGCATCTAGCATACTTTGGTCAGCCAGTGCGATCGGCGCTGACGTAGACAAATTTTAATAATATTTTATAGAATTTTTTTAAATTATTTTTCCTTGTTTTTCTTTTCTTTCTTTCTTTTTTTTTTCTTCCTTCTTCCTCTAGCCGGTCACCGGACCGAGGCGACTGGCCAGAGAGGAGGGCCGGCTAGGTCGACCTCGCCGACCACTAGCGAAGCTCACCTGGCAAGCCCTTGTGAGTGGCTGGACCAGGTTGGCCTCACCTCGATCCGACGACCGGCCAGAGGAAGAAGGAAGAAGGAAGAAAGAAAAAAGAAAGAAAAGAAAAAATTTAAAAATCGAAAAAATATTAAAATATTATTAAAAATTGTCCACGTCAATCTCGACCACGCCACATCAGTGCTGGTAGGCCAAATTTGGTCAGATGGACTGAATTGGCATAAATGTAAAAGGTTTAGAACTCAATTAGCACAAAAAAATTTATAACTGAATTGACACAATTGTAATAGATTTATAACTGTTTTGATAATTTTTCCCCTTTTTTAGGGGGGAAAGTGTAGTTTAGGAAATAAAATGACAATTTGGTATGTTAATTATGGGTGAGAGATGCAACTTAAAATCCCTAATGAAAAATAAGGATGATGTTTTGAAATGTGAGGAGGGTACTTGATATAGGAAGTAAAGTTCTGAAGATGATTTTTGTAATTTTCTGTGGTACTATAAACACCAGTATAGCTTACAACCAATGCAGTCCTTAAATCAGTCAACACTTGGGTTACATAAGGTTTAGGACTGAATTGAATTAGCACAAAGATAAAAGGTTTAGAACTGAATTGGCACCAAAAAAAGGTTTATGACTAAATTGGCACCAATGCAAAAGGTTTAGGACTTTTCTGACGCTTTTCCCTTGATTATTTACTTTTAGTTTCTTAACTAATATATTTATTTATACATAATTATTTTTTGAAAATTTATGCCTACTAACCTCGCGTGTGTATAATGTTTTTAGAGTAAATTCATTCTAGGCTTTTTTATTATTTATTTACTTCTTTAAATCAAATTTAAAAGTAACAATTTATCATTTATATATAAAAATATATATTTAATATACAACGTATCCCAACGTGTCGGAATTCTCTATTTTTTGAGAAATAACGTGTCGTGTGTCGTGTCGCGTGTCGGTGCTACTTAGTTCCTACCACGGCTGAACCAAAAGTGGGTGGAAGTTTCTACAAAGTGGAAGCTTGTGGTCCCATTAAATTGAGCTGAGACGTCTCCTCCCGCTAATTGCAGGAAACTAATCCAAAGTCATCAATTGTTTTCGCTTTGCTATTCTTGTAATATCAAAATATTTCGCTATGTATTCTTGAATAACTAATCCTACTTTCCCCTTCCTTCTGCATTTGCATGCAAACCAATAAATTTTATAGCTGCTTTTTTCTGGGCCAAAGTCTCTTAACAAGAAGCACCACAGTTGTCTTGCATCAGAGCAGTAAGATAGACAAGATCATGCATCACAAGGATCTCCATGTGTGGCATGACAAGGAAAAGGCAAGTAGTTCTCAAGGCTAATGCAAGAAGATTCCGTGGTATACCTTCTTATCCACAAAATATTTCACGACAGCTGCACTATCTCTGATGTGTGCCTTCCTCCAACTCAACTGCATTCTGAAACTTACAAGAGTTAGGCTTCATTCAAGAAAGTTGGCACGCTTTCTTGATAAAGAGCAGCTGAGCAATACATTGCCATTGCCGACAAGGATTGCAAAGAGGAATAACTTAGTTTTATCAAAACAAAAGATGGTGAAGTCATGTAATTGCGCTATTTACCACAAGATGGATATAGAAGAGGCCTCTTGAATGTGTAATGGACTTGAGACATGCAAGATCAGGCAAATTGAGGTTTTTATACTGATAAATTATAACCATGACAAATCACTACTCATGGTCTTCCAAATGACGCCAATTATAAGTTAAAGGCCTGATGACCAGGCATGAAAATTATCTGTGCCGGTTGCCCGGCCACGGTTGGCTGCCCGACTTGTCCTTGGTTGGGCGCTCGCCTGGCATCTTGCTTCGTCCAGGCACCAAGCGAGCTGTTTCCTCACTTCTCCAATCATCTGCTGTCATCTGCATTCCCTCACAAACACTCTGAGCATCCCGATACTAACGAACTCATACCGATTCAGAATCGAACGGGAATGTAGGGCCATAATCAACGACAAATTATCATTTTCCCCAGTGTATATCACGGCTTTTCTAGGTGTGCTTGAACATGTACAAGAGTCCGTGGCTGTGGGATTGATTATGTGCCTATTGTTGATCTTCCATATTCGCTTAATTAATCTCTCTTGCATCCACCCCCATGATTATAGACTGTCTTTTTGTTTCATGACTTCAATGTAGTACAGTTCATCATGACTTAATATAAAATAGATAGAGAGCACACAAAGGTTATTTAAGGCGTAAGTGAAGGTAGTAGACACATGACTCGGAGACTACGAGGATGTTTATATATTTACTTTCTTTTTATTTATTTATTTATTAATCTATTTTTGCTAAAACAGAGGATGTTTATTGGTACTGCCCAGAAAAGCCTGGGGCTTTCTCTCTCTTCTGCAAAACTGAAAGCTCGTTTTAAGAATACGTTTGTGGCGCGTTGAGTGTAAAAATGGAAACATGCAAATATAAACAGTACGCATCTCTAGGAAATTAAAAAAGATTGGTCATAAGTTGAAAGAAAAAATTAGTGGAACCCTTATCTCATATTTCTTTTTCGTTTGTAATTAAAGGGCCTCAAGGATGCGTAAAATTGACTGATCGTAAATAGCACGCATCTCAAGGAAATTAAAAAAGACTGGTCGTAAGTTTAAAGTGATTGGTCGAAGGCGCTCTTGTGGGGGAAGCTGCGGTCGAGACTGGAGAGGGCGGAAAGGATGCCGTCTAGGGCAAAGAGAGAGGTCTCCGAGGTGAGGGTGGAAGGAAGAAGAAAGAAAAGAAAACATAAATAAAAATGAGAACGGAAAAGAAAGAAAGTGAAAGAGAAAGAAACGAAAATGCCTCTGGCCATATTAAGATTTGAGCGATTGGAGGGCTCCGGTCTTTATTTGAGATTGATTTGCCACTTCAAGCCCCTATTTGAGATAATGTTCATTTTAGTTTCTCTTTTAAAAAAACACCACCACTTCAAATTTATATTTGAAATTTTCCAAAAATTAATGGAACCGTTATTTTTTACTTTCTTTTTATAATTAAAGGAGCTCGAGAATTGAGACTTGGCTACTTAGAGGCTTAGCCTTATATAGAACCCTCCAAACCTTATAAACAGATTAAGTTCAAACCGCTGAACTATGTAAATATAAGCTTTATATGATTGCATCATATGATACTATACTAACAAAGCTTAAATGGGAATCTCAATCTTGATACAGCAATTTTTCCATTAAGGTTCAATAGACATCCAAACATATTGTTTGTAGTGATTTTTATTTATCTCTCTTGTTAAATTTTTTCTCTCTTATTATAGAATCTGAATATTTTGACTTTTATTTAATATTTGTAAACACCTGAAACATTTCAGAATATAAGTATATCAACATCAAATTTCATTTAGAGTTTTTCATAAATTTTTAGAACTTCAATTATTTTCTTCAATTTTCCAAATTTTGTCGGAAAAGCAAAAGGAAACTTTATTTAAAAGCTCACACACACAAGAGAGCTAGGTAAATGCTAGGTGAATGAAAACCCTAATCATGATAGAGCAAAGCTCCCCCATTTGAGAAAACAAAAGGGCCAACCCCACGAGTTACATCTTTGAGAACAAAAAAATTAGGGTAAATGCTTCCACATAAATCAATGTTAATCACAGCATCTTTAGCTATAAATGCCATTTCAAACTCCCACGCAAGAACAAACCTCAGTCACTTCGCTCCTCTCTTCCAAACACACAAACTCTCTCACCCAAAACACTTGTGCAGCCATGGAAGTTGCCCCAACCAAAACCCACATAACCCTCCTAACCAGCCCCGGCATGGGACACCTCATCCCAGTCCTCGAACTCGGCCAGTGCTTCGCCGTCCACCACGGCTTCCTCGTCACCATCTTCGTCGTGACCACTGACGCCTCCACCGCCCAGCAGCTCCCCCACTACTCCTCCTACCGAGACCTCCTCAATATCGTCTTCCTCTCGCCGGTCGGCGTCTCAGACCTAGTCACCGACTCAATGGCAATCCTCTCGCAACTGGTCCTCATAATGCGCCACGCGATGCCGATCCTCCGCGCAGAGATTGCTGAACTGAAGCCACGCCCCTTGGCCCTTGTGGTTGACCTCTTCGGGACCGAAGCTTTCGAGATAGCTGACGATTTCGGCATGTTGAAGTACGTGTTCAACACCACTAATGCATGGTTCCTTGCCCTGACATTATATTATCCGCATCACGATGAAACCAGCAAACACGACCATGTCTATCTCCATAAGCCGCTGGACATCCCAGGATGTGCGCCGCTCGAGTACGAAGGCACGCTTGACCTGAACTCACGACCGGACGACCGGGTTCTTCAGGAAGATTATGCGAAGATGGGGCTCGACATGGCAAAGGCTGATGGGATATTGGTGAACTCCTGGGAGTGTTTGGAGCCCAGGACGTTGAAAGCACTGAGAGATCCGAACTTGCTGGGCAGGTTCAGCTCGGTCCCGGTCCACCCGGTTGGCCCATTGATTCGGCCGGTCAACCCGGTTGAAAATTTTGTCTCCAGGAGCAAAGTGCTTGATTGGCTGGACCTGCAACCCGCCAGGTCGGTGCTTTACGTGTCGTTTGGCAGTGGTGGGACTCTATCGGCTGATCAGCTCACCGAGCTGGCTTGGGGCTTGGAGGTGAGCCAGCAGAGATTCGTTTGGGTGGTGCGGCCACCCATCGAGAGCAGCTCGTTCGGGTCGTACTTCCGTCAGGATAAGAGGACCAAGGACGGGACGCCGGATTACCTCCCCGATGGTTTCGTGAGTAGGACACGCGAGGTGGGCCTTGTGGTGGAGATGTGGGCCCCGCAGACCGAGATCCTGGCCCACGAGTCGGTCGGAGCATTCCTGTCGCACGGCGGGTGGAACTCGATACTGGAGAGCGTGGTCAACGAGGTGCCCATGATATGCTGGCCACTCTATGCGGAGCAAGGCATGAATGCGGCCATGCTTTCCGACCACCTTGGCATGGCCACTCGTTCGAGGGAGGTGGGGCCCGGCGGGGTGGTCGAGAGGGAGGTGATTAAGGAGATGATAAGGAGGGCGATGGAGAAGGATCAGGAGCCCGCGAAGTTCGTGAGGGCAAAAGTGCTGGAGCTCAAGCGCAGCGCGGAAGCGGCTCTGGCTAAGGGTGGCTCGTCCCGCGGCTCACTCGAGCAAGTGGCTAAGGAGTGCGAAACGGGCCTGAGAGAAACGGCCCGTGGGGCTTAGTTTCCATTTAAAAGCTCAGAAAGTATGATGTTGGTATTACTCGTGTAGTATATCTCAGGGAAAATAACAAAAACAGTCCTTGAACTTTGATTAAATGTGCAATATGTTTCCTAAATTTTTAATATGTTTAATTTCATCCTTGAACTTTTGGTACATGTTCAATTTAATCCATGAATTATATAAAAATGTTCAACATAATCATTCATTCAATTCAAGTTCAAGACTCAGTTACATTGAACATGTACTAAAAGTTTACGGACCACATTGAACAAGTTAAAAATTCATGGACCACATTGAATATTAGGCTAAAGTTCAGGGATTACATTAAATAAATTAAAAGTTCGAAGATCAAATTACACATTGAACTAAAGTTCAAGAATTGTTTGTATCAGTATCCCTAATTCTCATGGAAGAAGAATGGGATTCTAAATAAATTTTCTTTTTCTTTTCCGGTTGTTAACCCAGATATCCTTTTCTTATTTTTCGGGTATGAAATTGGAGCAAGCCCCTTGAGGTTAATTGGCTATGACAAGTCTCCATACTTAAATAATCTAATTTGGTAGATATGGCACTGATTTAGTGAAATAAAGTTAGATAGTTCGACTTTATGAGTTCCTTCTACTTTTGAGCCTTTGGTCGATGAATGAATATCCATCCATGGACACTTGATCTATGAAACTAATGAATGTGAGAGTTAACGCTGGCTATCGACACGCGGCCCCTACGTGTACAAGCTTTTAAAACAAAATACACTTTGAATCCTTCTACTGTTGGAAGTATGAAAATTTAGTTCATGTACTTTGTTTTGACAACACTACTAGTCCTTGTTCTATTGATTGATGAGATTTTAAGTAAGATTTTACACATTTCTATTCCAAATAACACTTGAATGACGTTGGCTATAATTTTGTACATGGTTTGTTAATATCGATAGTCTTATCGGTAATGGTTGAAGTGACTTTTTTAAGAGATATTTACTATTTAAAAGTTGAGATGAATCATCAATTACCATAAACTGTCTAAAATTATATCGTGTGAACTAAAATTGATCATTCCTAAAAGTACGGTGACCAAAATGTAATTCAATTTGTGGGCTTCTACACACAGGCGTCACGGGTCAATAGTCACTGCTGACTCAACAATTTCCGGCAAGCTTTGAGCAAGACTCTGACGGGAGGACTTCAATAGTCGCTGGAAAATAGTATAATAAGGACTCTAGCTGCTGTAACCAAACAAAGTACAAGTGTCATCCCGCAAAATCATAGGGACCAAAACATGTAGTTTTCCCTATATTTTGCAAAGGTTATCCTAATGTGGTGCATGCAGATTGGCAGAGGATTCGACGATCTCGATCTGAAAATAAATCAATTCAGTAAGCCCTAGAATCTGACCGATGGTTAAATTATTCGTGCTTCTGGAAAAAATTATATTAAACCCACTTTGGTTTTAGCAAAAGACAGGAATCATTTATGTAAACGACTGACGATGAAAATGTTCATTAAATTATGATAAAAAATAAAGGAACGTGGCTGTTCCAGCCCCATGTAATTGGACGTGCGTTTCGAGGAACTTCACATGCATTCTTGTCGACAGAGGAGATTGAAGATCTCTCAAACCTGCCTTCTCTGATCGGTGCAGTCCCGCCATTCATGGCTCATGCATGCAGCACGTGAAAACAACTTCATTCGATGCTTGGCCACCCAAGAAAACAAAAGGGTCAACGATAACTTCATCGCGATGTTCAACTCGCGACAGAGAGAATCGATGCTGTTGAATGATGGTTATCTCAGCTGGGTCTAGGGTAAGGGAAGATAGAAACCAAGAACCGAAGTTATCTTGACTGTCGGCAACAGAGAACTGTCATTTGGCCAGTCCCCATAGATCCTTGTTTGTCATCCGTAGTATACCGGAATCAAGACATGTACTGCTTGATATCTCCGCGAAACGTGTTTTATCAAAAATACTCCGGCACACTCGTTTCGCAGAAAATAAGTTCTATCAAACACGAGATAGCGCAGATGACCATAACTAGAAGATTTCAAAGATGTGGAGCTCGCTCCTCTTTCAGTAACTGATAAAGTGCATCAGCGCAACCAAAACCGGGACTCGGAAGGCTTTTGGTCCCCAAATCCATTACCAACCACCACCCCATTGTTGGTGCAACACCGATACACTTAAGGACTTCACTATGTCGATGTAGAAGTTGGTTGCAAAAGTCCAAATGCCGCCGCTTGTTCGATTATGCGGAAAACAGGTGAGCAGGAACGAAATCATTACGATGAATTATTATGCAGAAAATAAAGCCAACGTATTTACATGGCAACAGAAAAATAGCAATCTTTTATGCAACCACTTAAGCATCAAGTTCTTTTCTCTTTTATCAGAAAGTCAAGGATGGGGCAGGAATTCATCAAGGATGGAGAAGGCAACATGGAGATAACAAACGGAGTTTTCCCTGGTTCTTTGCACATGCACGTACAGGTTCAGTAGCTTTCTTCAGCCATGCCATTTCAGCATCGTCCAAGTATGGCGCCAATATGTCTCTACACTTCGAATGGTATGTGTTGAGCCAATTGATCTCTTCAGGTGTCAATAAACTCAAGTTGATCAGCTTGGTCTGATACGGTGCCTAGATAGGAAACAAATTACAAGCATGGAAAATAGCTCGACAATTTAAAAAACATTAAAACGTTAAACTCCAATGATGCCAATGAAAGAGAATGAGGCAGTGATGGTTCTCCGATAAAATTGACCGGGTTGATAATAATTTAGTTTTTCCAATGAAGTGAATGTTCAAGTCAAGTCTTTCGCACTAAACAGGGTCTAACATTTTACTAGAAACATCGTGCCTCTACGAAACAAGAACATGGAATGGGAAAAATTTCTGCTCATGCTTCAAATGTTGTTGGACCGTCCATGTCTTCGTCCGTTATACTCTTCAAAAGACGAATGCTTTGTATCTTTTTCCACCTTATTCTCTGTATATTTTATTAACCCAAATAATCCAACTACTAGTCGCCAGTCAGAAATGTAATCCGATGACTCGACCAGTGACCAAGCAAAGAAAACATCAAATATGATGAAAATGTCAAATTTGTCAACAAAGATTGAAATATCACCAACTGCAGGGAAGAATTGCGAAGTCAATTTAAAAAAACAAACCAGAGTGGAAAAGAAAGGAGAGACCTTCACCAACTGGTAGGCAATACCCTTCTATGTAATAACAACTTACCCACGTTATATGCTCAAATGATAAGTACCCCTTGTCACCAAAGTTGAACTTTGTATCCGCTTCAATGACCACCAAGACATTCTCCAGCCTTATACCAAACTTCCCATCTTCATAATAACCAGGTTCTGGAAAAGGTTTCCATTTTAGGAAATCAATGCAACCTTTGATGTAACAGGATTTTGAAATTTTGGTTCATGAAATGCCTCATGAACAAGTGATGAACAATAGCAGTAGGACAATAATACAGAATGGCAATTACAAATTAGGGCTGCTTCTTTTAAGAAAGACACATCTGAATAAACATTGAATATGAAGGCAAAAGCAGTTGTGAGTAGCATTCTAAGTAATAGCTTTGAGTAATTTCACCGTACTTTCTAAAGCAGCAAGTCATAACCTTAAACTACTCCAGAAACAATTGAATCATATATCTACCAGCTGCCCTCAAATCTACTAAATTCAATAGAACTCTCTTCCACCAAGAAGGTAATCATATTTCACTTGTCACAAAATAACCAAGAACAGAAATGTTACAGAGTTATTAATACGTATTCCGGAAGCATTGCTCCCAGTTAATATTGACCCCTAGACCTGGGTGAATAGACCACATCACCTCAGCCTTACACATCAAATGGCTGAGATCGCAATGCCTCAGGCATCTAATAAAATTCCCATATCACAAGCCGGTACACTACTAATACTAACCATCTGTAACTGCCATCGAAGCTTGCATTGGCACATTACGAGCCTGTGGTCTGAAACTGATCATATGCGGACCTGATCATTGAAAGGTCAAGCTAAACATCATTAGATAGATTGTGTGCCAAAAGTTAGCTAAGCTTGCCTAGACTAAGCTGGGATGGCAGATATCATGGCCAAATATGGCTAAACGTGCCTTAACCCAGCTCATCCACATACCTTCATGAACATTTAGGTAAGATCCGATTCCATGTCCTGTGCCATGTCGATAATCAAGACCATCCTTCCACAAAGGTACTCGGGCAAGAATGTCCAAAGCATTACCTTAAAGATTTAATTAATAGGAACTTTACGTAAGATGAAGGAAAAAATCTCAGCTTATGTTGATGAGACTAACCCCTGAATACACTGGCAATTTGGTTTGGAAGTATAATTCATTCAAGTGCGAAGGTGAAGGATTGTGATACCATTTGTTCCATTCGGAAATCTGGCATTTCCCAGAGCGATGTGCCCTTTTAGTACCTGGATAGAGCCCAGAACCAGAAGCTCTTAGAGCCTTGCAAGACTTAGTATAAATTGGAAATCAGAGGACTTGCTGTTTTACAGGGGGAGAAGGAATTAACTGGATTGAAATAAGTAGACAAAGCACATAAAAAAGAAAAATCAAGGTAACTATTCCTGTACTTTAATAATTAAACCTTGGATCTGTGATCAGGAATATGAGGTCTTCACGCTACTAACGCCAGAGAATATATGGATAACAATTTATACATATGGAAGAGATATCTTGAGAAGAGGAAGATGCAAGAATGTGAGGTGTATTTAAGAGTCATGGTCCTTTGCACCACTTGCACTAGCAGCAGCTGTCAATAGTTAAAGGGAGTCGCCATGACCAATGTCAGCGGAGACATCAATGATCACTGATGGAATCGCAGTAGTTGACATGCAAAGGCATATAGATATAACAACAAGGTTTCCAGCTGCACCTAGAGGTTAATATCATAGGTAGACAACACTTTACTCTGGTATTAGGCGAAAGAAACGGCTATTGAGGGGTGAAGGGGGTATCACC